CGCCAATCCCGAACGGTTTCAGCAGTCTTGCAGTCGCCTCTGAGACATTCTTAACATAGGGAATTGTCAGCTAGAACTTCGGTTTCTCTTCGGTCGACACCTCAGAGCGGCACTTCCTGAGACACCTGTGTACGAAGGACTTCGGGTAACCATTAGCCTCCTTCACTTCAGAAGTAACCACCCCGTCGGTCACAAACGCAGTTGCGTCAGGACTCACTTCCAGCGCGCTAAAACACACTGCAGTGACTACGATGGCAGAAAAGAAGAGAGGAAGTACCTACATGCCCTATTCGAGGCTAATGGCAAGACGCATTAATTCAAGGCAGCCGGAAGAGTAAGCAGCACGCTCTGATGATGAAAACGAGCATGTTTTTGAAACGTCAGCAAAAATACAATTTGGTCCCAGCACTTGCCCCCTCTTCTTCTTCTTCCTCTTCCGGGGATGATGATATATGACGATATATAAATATGCGTATGAACACGCGAACTGACCTTGACCACCCACTCAGCGTGTACATGCCAACGCAGGAACTGCACTTTTGGCTGTGTGAGCAGTTGATCAAGGTGGACGGTTGGGAGCTCACCACTGGCTGAGGAGACCTTCCAGACGCGCAGGAGTTCCGTAATATCGGTGAGCAGGAGAATGCTGACATCCCCGTTCGAATCACCCCACGCGATCAAATACTGGTTTGTCTTGGGACGAATCCTGAAAATAAAGGGGGCATTAGAATCGAACTGGTGGAAGAGGAGGGGGGGAGGGGGGGAGGAGAGGGAGAGGAGGGATCAGAGTAATCATGCTGCCTCGGGGCTTAGGCTGTTTACAGTTGTGGCCCGAGTTAGCTGTTTTATTTTACATAAAACGTAACTCGTCAGCAGTTATGTCTAGTTACTTAATTCAGAAAGGAGCGGGTAGGACTACGCCGCTTGTCCGCAGACTGGTTTGGTGGCGGGATCAAGAAAACATTATATCGTTAAAAACCATAGATAATAGAGGAGAAATGGTGTTCAATTACCTTCCCTATTCATCCCGCCCTACCAAGTTGCCTTTATTAATGACATCGGCCGGTCACAATGGCTGAAATACAGCAATGCATATTTGTCTCTTGGGTAACCCCATTTCTCCTCGGATGTTTAATTTCCATAAACTCTTCATCGGTGCGACTAGTTGCATGTTCAGGACGTTTTTTAGAGTTTGGACGAAAACTATCACCGCTGGATTTGAGTCCGAATCTAAACGACTGCTCAAAGGAAAGATTATGTTTCGGCAACGTGCCCGATTGTCTGGTGATAACCGATAAATATGCAACAGGCTGTCGGAGCAGGGTAACATTAACTGGTACCTAGAGCCTTCAGGAGGCCCTTACACTCCATTCCATTACCACTCAGTCAACAATAGAACCGTAGAATGCGATTGCATGCCAGAAACAGTCGGCTACTGACACTATATCTAGTAATACCTCTGACTGGTAACCGCTTCGGGATCAGAAGGGCGTTATGACTGTCAACCAGTAGTTCTTGTTTAGAATTATTACCTTCGCGTTGTCCCATTTATCTCAATGAAAACTGCAACGATCGCGTCAATCATCGCTTTCACCGAACCTCGTGGTCCTAGGCTACACGGCCCTGTAAGGTTCTTCCTAGTGGCGGTCCATAACCAACTGCTGAGGATCGTGGCGGGCCCCTCTGTTTTCGTCACCTGGT